GACTTAGTATTTTTAAGCTTTTAAGTTGTAAATCTTTAACAATTTAACTGTTTTTCATACATTGGTTTTTTCTAAATTTTTTGTTAAATTATGCAATGTCCATTTGTCCCTCTGTTTGTAATTTCTGGCTCCAGTGTGTAATTAGGTTTACGTTTTATAGGTATGCAACTAGCCTGACATTATATAAGATAAATTTGCATCCATATAAATATATAATCAAACTAGTTTTGTGCCCCGGACATTGCCTGGATTATTATTTATTGAATTTTAAGATAAATTTTTTTAATTCTGCCGAATTTTAAAATATATCATTAATATAAATTGTGTTATGTATTAGATTTAGGATATTTTGACGTACGATGTTATTCAAATTTTTTTACTAATGGAATAATAATCACTTGACAATCATACTTGTAAAGTAAAAAATAGAACTACCGCGTCGCTCATCATAAAGTTGTGGGTGGTTTTGGGAATGAATTTGAGTTATCTAGTAGATCTTGAAAGTGACGCAAGTAGTATGACTAGAGCAATAAAAAGAATCAGTTTGGATTTGCACCTATTTTTATGTTATTGGATGATATTTCTTTTATTTAATAATAATTGCAACTTCTTTAAAAAAAAATTATGAAGTACAATATAGCAATTGGTTGTTAAATTTATGCTATTAGTACCATTGCAACGTATGTAGCTTCTCCCTACTCACAAATTATACCCACCTAGCTTTGCTTAAAAAATTCAACATTTAAATTATAAACCCTTTTTGTATGAAACCTCCATTTTGCCTAAAATCTATCGTAGCCAAGTATTCTAATATCCTCCACCATATTTCCCATAGTATAATTCGTAAAATTTTATGTCCCAAGTTTATGGGCATGTACGACACTAGATTTTGAGTAGCTTTTAGCTTTTATGTCCCAAGTCAAATCACTAGTTAATAAAACAGAAATTGAGCGTTTAACAATATAGTGGTTTTGGTAGCTTTTGGTGGTAGGGATAGGTTTTTAAAAATAAAAAGTAGTTGTTATAAATTATTACTTTCTCCTCTCTTTTTTTATTGCACCATGAGTGATATCATGCGTGCAAATGCAATAATTTGGCTATAAATATCTTTAACTATACTTATGTAAAAATTATAAAAAGTAGATATTTGAAAAGTAAATTTTGAGATAAATCTAATTAACTAGATCTCACATGACTAGGTTTTTCTTTATGAATAATCACAAAACATGGTCAAAGAAGGTTATGTGAATAGTATAAAAGTCTTAATGGTGCACTAAAATAAAAACAGAGGGAGTATATACTTTTAAGAAAAAACAAGTTAATTTTATATATATTAACATCTAGTTAACAACTATTTATCGAACACTCATATTTTAATTATCTATCTTCACATGTAATCCCCCGTATTTTTAAATATTTTATATATGAAATTTTATTTTATTTATAATATTTATTTGTATTTTCCCAGAATTTAATTTTTAACTTATTAATTTGGGTCAAAAATTATTTTAGGCTAAATTATTTTATGAACCTATATCTTACAATCCATTATTATAAAAATAAAGTCTAACCCATTTGTTTATTTAATTGGCCCATTATTTTCATGAGGCCCAATTCTACCCTACAATTCTCTCCACACAAAAAGGTTAGTTTTATTTTCTTCCTCCTTTGTTTCTTATTATTTTCATAAAGGTTATGTAATTGATTTTTGGACTTTGGTTTTTATTGCTTGAAATTAGTTTATTTAGTATCAAAATCATGTTTTTGATGTTTTAAACTAATAATTTCATATTATAGTTGTTGTTTTAATTTTCAGATTTTGTATTTTAAACCTAAGATTTTAATTTAGTTAAATTGGGATTTTAGGGTTCTAATGATCAATTAATTTGGGGCTTTTATTCCTATTGAATTTATAATGATTAATTAAGCATAAAAACAAATGTTCAGTTTTCCGTAATCAACTTTGATCTCCGTTCTTAATCACGTTTAGATTTTAACTTGTTTGATTTTTACGAAAAAAATAGTGTTTTTCGTGTGTAAACAACGTTTTAATCAAAACATAGTACCTAAGGTAATGATCACCACCCTCTCGTGGCCAAATTCAACCTCTAAATATGGTTTTCGGGCAGTTTTTGATTTTTAACTAAGGTTTAATGTTTAAAATAAATTTTTAGATTATCAAAGTTTTAATCTTGGGTTTAAATTGTATTGATTTCATGTGTTTCAAGTCTCTAATTTTATTAAACAAAGGTTGTGGTTATTTTATGATTATAAAGTTTAATTGCAAGAATAAATTTTCAGATTTTTGGTTATTGTTTTTGGAGTCTTTAATTACATTGAATTGAGATATTTTTGGGTTTAAAGTCTACTAATTAACTTTCTAATGTATGTAGTGATAAAGATTTCTATAATATCAAGATTTCATGTGTAAAATAATTTTTCTGATTTTTATAAAGCTCTAAACTAGCTGTAATTTCATGAATTAGTATGTATTTTAATGTTTTTATGTAGGAAACATAAAGAACTATATATAAGCTTTTAATTCTAGTAAAAAGGAAATTTTTAAAGTGTTGTTTAATTGAATTTTGAAGGTTTTAAAGTAAGTTAGTATTGCTGTAAATTATATTGCTTGGGTATTGATTGAATTATTATTACTTGGTTTAGGAGAGGACTTTGTAGAAGGCGATTTCTAGTTCCTAAAGTGGCCAACCAACTCGTTTACTCAAGGTACGTACAAGGATACGAAAACCTTGACTTTAGGAGCATGTTTAAGGACTGGAAAAACTTAGAATCATGTTAGGAAACTTGCAGATTGGATGAAATTGTTTGGTAGTGTGTTTGATTGATGATTAATGTGATGACTGGTTTGATTCATGTATGAGAAATGCGTATTGATTTTCTTGTAAGTGTTATTTATGCAATAACTTGCAAGATGAGCTAAGAGGCTAAGGTACATAAATATGTGGAATGAATTATCTTATTACTCGTTCATGTTTATGAATTGGAATGGGTAAAGGGAGAATTAAAATCTTACAAGACGAGGTCAAGGATTTGACCTGAGGTGCCTTATGCACTTAAGGTGTTTATACACCGAGGTAGTTAAAGGATTTAATAATAAATATTGTTTGTCACTAATAAATCAAGAATTGAATTGGAAATTTGAATTGTTTGAATGATGGATGTATGATTGGTTGTATTGTTTTGCATTTGAGTCATCACCAAGTTTAAACTTGTAAATCACGTAAAGTGCAAGATGGATGAGCAATAAAACTCTTGATTTGTGCACATCTAGAGTAATGACAAACAAGGGTTGGGGTACACAGGGTATTAGCCGTGTACTTTCTAGAGGTCGTCTGATCTACAAGTCTCTTGTTTACAAATACTTTTTAAAACTATAAGGAGTTAGATGAGATCGCATACTAGCTTTGGTCACGGAGTCGCGCCCGTCTGCCATTGGATGTTTATTGATGTTTTCAAAAGGAGGCATGGGGTTTTTTCTTTTATTGATGTCCGGAATGGAGCATGGGGAGACAACCTTGTCTATTGTCTATTGCTTAATCCAATCAATGAATGAAATGAAATAAATTATTGCTAGTAATTAGTGAAGTCTTAGTAATGTTAATAGCTGAGGCATGTGGTAGAGTCAATAATTAAATTGTGTGTGCTGATTGATTTTTAGTAACATGCTAGGGATTCTTTGTTATAATTCGTAGCTTGTATGTACTCAGCGATGCTGATTGCGTGCTTTTGTGTGTCTTTTTCCTGGTTATGGCCTTCGCCTTTTCAATGACCCTGTAATGATCCAATTTTTACACTTGTAATATTGGGGAGCAGATTAATCACAGGTTTATACATAATCAGAACTTGCATCAAGGTGGTGGGATTTTGAGTGGAGTGTTGGATGTTTCCACAATATATTTCATTTCAAAAGTTTGGATTTAATTTAACTCTGGTTTGATTTATTTACTACTTTTATTGGGTTTTGAATAAGGGCCTTAATGGTTCCAACTTGTAAGAATAAATTTGGTTTTGATTTTTGGTTTGAAACTTATTTATAACTGAGTTAGTTTTTCCGTTGCTAAATTCTGAACTAGCCTTAACGTTTGAACACGTGGCGGTAGCACGTCGGTAATTCTCTTGCAAATTGTTAAAGGTATTTACAGGTTTTTAAGAGAGAATTATTGGGGTGTTACATCACATCTAAGAGCTAGTCGACAACTAACAATCACTTGCACAACTAACTCTTACTACCACATCTAATATCTACCTCCACAGCTACATTTTTCTAGCGCGCCCTATACCCCCTAGCTCACACATTTACTAATCAAACCCTATTAAATTTCTTAAATTTCCCACTCAGCCACATTTGTTGACATATAATACCTTCTTAATCATTCAACCCCTTTATTAACTGCAATTTATAAGTCTATCTCAACTTCTCTTAGTTTTGGATTTTCACACAATGAACCTTAGTAATTTTTAAGCTGATCCGATTCGATCTCCTCTACAAAGCTAGAAGTCACCTTACCCAAACTCTCTCTTATCACGTTCTACATTATCTATTCACGTAGACCTAGCTAAATCATCTAAGATTACTTGATGAATATTGTAGACATCTAATCATGTATCCTTAAAGATCTTTGATAATTGAAAAAGTATAACCTGTCTAATTTAGGTCAATTATTCTAGAGATTGATCGAATAAAATTTCCACATACCTCTACCGAGCCCAAATAAATTTTGAATCGAATCAAATCAAACCTAGTCTAAAATCAATTTCAATCCCTCTAGTATCAATATTTATATGGTGCACCCTGAGCACTAGGATAGGTGGACCACACATAAAATATGAACATTTAGTAGAAAAAATATAAACATGTTACAAAAAATGAACATTTACTAATAGAATTTGAACACATAAAGATAAGAAAAGTGACAATTTAAAAGTGAATAAAGAATATAAGAAAGGTAAAATTTTATTATTTCTATCTAGTCACAATATTTTGGTTTAATGACAATTTACTACGAGAATTTGACAGAGAGAGTATCACACTTACTAATTACAAAGTACAAATGGGGAATGAGAATTTGAACCTAACTATGATTAAACGTACACAAACCCTCAGTCTTTGCCAAAAGACCAAGACTTCATTGGTTAGGTATTGCCTAATAAAAGTATTAAGGGGCCGTTTGGTTCGCCGGAATGGGGAAAGGGAATGGGAATGATTCCCTTAGTTAGTGTTTGTTTTCACTTATTTGTCATTCCCATTCCCCCATTTTATTTTTGGGTTTACCCAAAAATCTCCTAAACCCATTCCCCACCCCCTACCTTTTGCATTCCCATTCCCCAACCACCATACTCTATCAACTGGATGCTTCTCGTCGGAGCTTGCTGCACCTCGCCGGAACTCACTTCACCTCGCCGGATGGTCGTCGACCTTCCCCCGACCCTCGCTGCCCTTCGCCGCCCATCCTCCCACCCGTGGTTGTAGTCGGGCCAAGACCTCGAACAAAGAGCTTTCGCTGAATAACGTCGGAATCAGCAAGTGTAATTGAAAGGAGAGGGCGTGGTGCGAACTGGATGTCGGTGCCGTTTCAGGCGAGGGATGGGATGGGTTACGGGTTTCAGCCAAAGGGGTTGGAGATGGGTTACTGATTTCACGCCGGGATGGGGGATGCGAGTTTCAGGCGGCTAACTGGTGGAGGTGGTGGTGAAGTTGTGCCGTGCACCGGCTGCGAAGGGGAAGGGGAAAAAGGTGGCTGACTGGTGGAGGTGGTGGTGTTATTGGCTGGTTGGTGGAATGGTGGTATGGTGGCTTGTTTCCCTTTGTTATTCAAAACAAACAACATAGCAAAATTTGGGGTTTTTCATTCCATTCCGATTCTTTCCCTTTGTTCATTTCATTTCGATTACCCCGTGCGAACCAAACGCCCCCTAAAAGTAAATCATCAAAGAATACACTTCATCTACACATTTTTTTCACTTTAAGGCACTAGTACTGGATCTTCTTCGGTAGAAAAAAAAAGAAAGAAAAGCGAAAAGTAGTAAGAGAAAGGGAGTATTGTGCTCAATGATCTGCAAAAAAGTTAGGGTCTTGAGGCTTCTTTATCTTCGGCAACTCAATATCCATGTCCCTTTGTCCACTTTTTCGAGCATTCCTCACAAATCTTCTCGCCAATCGTTGTATATTAAGAGATGAAGTTTCGAGTTCCCCAGCACTACTTTGATCATTATGATCTTCATCATTGTGATCAAATGAAGTCGATTGAGTAAAGGAAACAGATAGCAATGACTTGTTCTGGCTATTGCTTGAGCTCGAGCTCAAGCTCGGACTAATTTGCTCCATCTTTCTCTTGTACTGTCTCCAAGCAGCTTGAATAAAACAGGCACCCCATGACCTCCACTGGTGAGAGTAGTAACGGAAAGTGTCCTGCAGCTTTTTACTATGCAGACGCCTAAATTGGTTCGCCACGTATTTAAGGTGTTCGGCTTCTAATGAGAAGGCTTCAACTTCTTCGATGGCCTTGACTGTTCTTGTAGAGGATGGATAATGAGTAGCATCCGGAAGAAGAGCCCATGCTAGAAGCTCTTCGCCACAAAAATCACCTGGTCTTAATGTGATCGAGTTGAAAAACCCTGACCGCCCTCCATCTGTTGTCGAACTCTCTAGTTTTCCTCGTATGATAAACAACATTTCTGTAACGGGGTCTCCCTCGCGGACAATGTAAGTGCCTGCAGTGTTTAGTGAAGATTTGAGCCGCTCGCATATGGCGTCTAGTAATTGACCATCCATTTGTGCAAAGAAAGGAACCTGCATATCATTTTTATTTATCAAGACCATACTTTAAACTGCAGTAACAATATTTAATCAACCGTGCTTATATATAGATAGAACTTACTCGTCGAATGAGATCTAAGCACAAATGTGTTTGAATATCACGACGTAGATCTAATGGCAAGGAGCTTAGTATTGCTTCTTCATTGACTCCTCGTGTTGCCAGCCATTTGTACTGAACATATCGCCTCACTCTTTGTTGCAAATGTGGAGGTAGCTGCCGATGTTTCATCCATTCTTCTGTGTCGCGTTTCCTAAGCCTCCATTGCTCGAGCCTCGAAGTGAGAGATTGCAAATAGGTCTACAAGTTTTATTATCCATTTTCAAAGCATAAGTAGGAATAACCTCAAACCACATACACTCAAGCGCACACACAAATGAAAAGTTCACCTATTATCTCTATGAACAAAAGGCAATATTAGAATTCAATTATTTTTATTGTTAGAATATTGTGTGCGCTTCAAATTTGTTGCATAAATTGTAAGTTGAAGCCTATTGATTCTCAATTTTTCACCTTGTTGATTCTTAAAGAAACTTTTTAGCACATCATACCATAACTTATTCTCTTAAAAGCCAACTTTTAGGCCTTGGAAAGCTCAAAATTTTCCCTTAGGATAATAAAAATCAGCCACCCTAGATGCATGTTAAGATTACAATGTCACTAGCAAAATTCCCCAAAGTGCTTTTAGTTGTTTGTTATAATTGACACTTCCAAGCATAGAATCAGTCCTGTTACTTATATTTAGATGTTGAAATTAACCACTGTCCTATACTATATTTATATATTGAGAAATTATTTTTCGGGAGTTTGTTTGATTTCCTAACCATATGAAATTACAGTTAATCTTGTAATTTGGGCTGTTGCCTTGTACTTCTCTGTTTTTGGGTAATAACACACTACTTTTTTTTTCAATGGAAATGGCTGATGATGGTGAACTATGTCCTATGTATGATCTCGAATCTAGAGATATTTATTTGGAGGGAAAGGATCATTTTTTAATAAAAGTTCTGATTTAGCCTATGTAGTGCAATATATCAGTAATTTAACTCATGTTACTCATTTCAAGGTCTCTGCATAACATGTTTTCCAATATGTAAAAAGCAATGAAGGTTAAGGAAACTCCGGTCCTGAAGGCTTTTAATCATATAACTAATTTATGAATCTTATATAATTTGTACGGAGTATGTATTTAGAAACTCAAAGAATGACAAGCCACGGATAATTTTCATTCTATCATGGTCAAGAGCCATAAGTTGATTTTCGTTCTCTCAAACACTAGCCACCAACCTTTCCCATAATCGTAAAAAGACATGCATATCAAGCAATGTATACATTTTGTTACAGGGATGTTCTTCCTTACCTCCATGTTACCGATTAAGAGAGCAAACAAAATCAGACCCAATATGGCTATGACTATGCAAAACACGGTTTCCAGGATGAATGTGCTTGTCTCCAATTCCTGACCAAACGAGCTGAAAGGTATTCAATTGTATGTTATTATGCAAATAAAAATCATATTATATGAAATGCACAAAATAATTAAAAACCATGTTGCTCGTCATAACATGGTTGGAGTTACTTTACCTCAACTGCTGTACTCCAAACCATAAACAATACAAGTACTTGATCTTAAATCTTTCAGAGGTAATGCCTTTTTCTAATGCAACTTCAAATATCCCAAAGTCGAAGATAACATCTTTGTTATGCGGATCACACTTAGTAAATACTTGGGTGTTATTTCTCCAAACGATACGATCATTATCATTTATAGTACTACAATCCAAGTATCTCAGTTGGCATTTGATGGGTGATTCTTCATCTCTACAAGCCGATCTCCAGCACGATGAGTATCTTTCTATGGACATTAGATACCAAGCTGCCCCGACAACCTACATGATTGAAAGAAGCTAAATCATTTATAAACACAATTAAACAAATGAACGGAAGTAGAAAGCATAACCAACAAAGAAAAACATGCGAATGTGGTGTTATGCAAAGAATTCATTAAGATCGATATGATTGGACTCAAGGAGATTGGACATATTCTTACATGACTAGCTAAAATGTACAATAGCAGATTATAAGAAGCTCCACCCCAAGCAGTTTTCGTGACAACTCCAGTAGCTTTGACGATATCAGAACTCAACGTAAAAATCTTATATACCCTCGGAAAATATTGAATGAAAACAATTAGCTGAAGTGCATTATCTGTACTTCTGGACTTAGAGTGCTTAATGGCTGGAATGATGAACCATATCACAATCTGCAAAACTTAATTAGACCTTGTGTTAGTAACTTAGCAATATGCACCTAGAAACTTTCTTATTTAACATATATATAATTTTATAAAAAATCTATTAGCTCCCTAGACAAGCGAAACTTAAAATAATAATAATAACAACAATAAAAAAAAAAAAAAAAAAAAGTGAAGCCTCTAATCTATGAGTTTGAGGCGGCTTATCTTCCGTTGAAATGTAAATAATATTGTGCATCTAGGTGCACGATGCACGTGTTTTAAAACGACAACTCTTAAAACATAAAACGTGTGTCCTTTAAATTCTACAAGTAAATTTAATTTTTAAGTATATATAGTAAATAATACGGAAACATAAATTTCTTTTTCCCATTTTTTGTTCCGTGTCGTCGATCATTTCAAAAATATCTCTATTAAAAGCCAACCTACACATACCCCAAGCAATCCTCAACATGACCAACAAGAATCCCTTTACAAGCCAAAGGGTTAGTGTGTTTTAAAAAAGTAAATCAAATGCTTAAAAGAAACAAATATAAATAATTAGATATGATGTTTAGGAACTACTACGTACATTATTTCCGATACGTTTGGTAAACGAATACGTTTCGAAACGTATCGTTTAAGAAACCCTTCTGATACTATTAATTTGTTATCCCACATTTACAACTTCCACGCTCAATTATAATTGTTGTGTGCCTTTTTCTCTGTTTTACACAAGGAACCAAAAAAAAAAAAAAAGTACTTAAAAAAATTGACACAAAGTAAGATTTGCAATAAGTTAGCATTGTCGATCACATTTTAGGTCACCCACCCTTTAACCAACTGGCATATTAATTAGCATAGTTTGACATTTAAGGGTCAATCAACCATTTTGGTATAAAAAATTAGCACTATTAGAAGTGAAAAAAAAAGCCAAAAAATAAAAAATATATAGAAAAAAAAAGGGGAGCAAATATGAGAATATAAAGAAATAATTAAGATTAAGCATAGAAATTAATCAAGAAAAATTACAATATTAACCTTTGATTACATAATCTGAGATTACATTGAGCTTTGGAAAATTGATGGGAATAATCCCACCTTTGGGTCATTCGTTTTTAATAATCCCACCTTTGAGAAATTATTTAATAATTCGACCTTTACCCCCATTCTTTTTTAATGGTCCCGGGTGACCAGTAACCGGTTGAAGAGGTAATTTTTTATTTAAAAAGATTAATTTACACGTGTCGTAACTTAATTGGCCAAAAAAAAAATTTATCCTCCATAGCTTATCAACGTTCTCCATTAAGGTGAAAATTATCCTCCATTATTTAAAACCACCACCATTATTTAAAACCACCACCACCAGCCAGCCTCCCTACCCCGGTGCCCCCACACCCCTCCCTGCCCTCCGTCCCCACCCCCGTTGCGCCCAGAACAACCAATTCCCCTCGCCGGCGCTGCCCTCCCCTACCCCCTGCGTCGCCACATAACCACCATAAACCCACCACGAAATCCCCCTTTCCCTCCCACAAAATCCATTAAATCATCATCAACGAATTTGAATACTTACTCAAATTCATCACCATAACCATCAACATTAAGAAGCCCATTAACAAATTCTTCTTCCTGCACATCTCCCTCCTCTAATTAAATCAGAACCAAACCCTTGAAAACTATCTTCTGAAACTTCACCAAAAATGGCTATTTGAGCAGGGGACGTGGCTTGAATCGGAGGATGGGGGAGGTCAGCGACACCGGAATCGGGGGATGGGGTTGGTCAGCAAGGTCAAAATTTTGGGGGGGAGGGGTGGCTGGATTCTTGAGACGAGCTAAGGGAGTTGGGTGGGATTTCAAGGTGAAGTTGGGGGTCGGGAAGAGGAGTGGGCTGCCATGGGGTCAGGGTGGTTCGATTCGGAGGGGTTTTGAGGTGGCGGGAGTCGGTGGAGGTGGAGGTGGAGGTGGAAGGCTGGGGTCGGGTTTCTGAACGGGGAGGGATAGGAGGGGTGAAGATAGAGGGGGTCTGAGCAGGAAGAAAAAGGTGGGTTTTTTTTTCAATTTAAGATTTAAAAAAAAAATTAATTAATTGATTTTTTTAACTTTTTTTTTTTAATTTTATTATTTGGACCAATCACAGGCCGCCACTTGTCATGCAACTTATTATAACAGGTTATATGACTGGTTGAGACCAATAAAAAAGAATGGAGGATAAAGGTCGGATTATTAAATAATTTCTCAAATGTGGGATTATTAAAAAAGAATGGCCCAAAGGTGGGATTATTCTCATGAATTTTTCCTTGAGCTTTCTATTTTTTTGCAATATTCAGTATTATATATAAATAAATTTTCTCCCAGCTTTTTAACTATTATTAAACTAACATGCCAATTTTAACTTTTGAGACGTTAAATCTAAAACATTTATCTTTCCTTTCATTTTTTGAGTTTTTTGTTTGATCTTACAATCATTTTTTTTGTTATTATTTCCGATAATCTTAAGAGCATGGGTGTAAAGGAGAGAATTATTTGTCATTAATAATAATGAGTATCAACAACAACGAAAAAAATTTCAAAAATTAAAACTAAAATAATAATTAAGCACTTACTCTGGCAAGAAAAAAGGGTTAAATGTCACATCTTGTTAACTTTTACAAATATGTCACTGTTTGTTAACTTGTATACCAATTTGTTGTCGGTGCTAAGTTATATACCAATATGTCACTAAGGTGCTAACTTTTATACTAATATTGTCAATTGACCAACATTTAAGTTATAAATGATTCTCAGACTCCATGCTTTTATTTCCATTTTCATTTTCGTTCATCCTATGTAGAATCAATAAGTCACCAACTAGTATTCAGTAGATACTTACACTCAAAAGGCGTAATTTATTCCCTACTAAAAAAAAAATACTCAAAAAAGAGGCTAGATCAGACCAACCTGTGGAAGAGGCAAAGCAGCAATGAAATCAATGAAAAAACCAGATGTAACATATCTTCTTGCAATCTCCTTGCCATCCTTCACAAGCTCACCCTTTCCAAACACTCGTGTACTCGGCGATATAAAAGACGTACGAAACCTCAGAAGAACATGTAACAGATAGAACACATCAGTGATGGTACGAATAATGGTCACAACACCACCTAATTCCAAATCCCTTGCCATACAAAATGATTCATTATTTGTGTCAACTCCAGGAACGTAAAAGAACAAAGGATCAATGAATAGCGCGATGATGCAGGCTACTAGGAAGATACGGTTCCACATTAAGGCTACCTCGCTTGAGGGATCCAAGGTCCGTTTCCACCATGTTTCGTTCTCATCGTCGTCGTGGTTTCGAATGCTTGTAGTTAAAGGAGTGGTCTGTTTGTATGTTGAAGAGGGTGTATCTGATGATTTCATTAGTAAGTCATTTCCATTGTTTTCATAAAATCTGCAAAAATAAATAAATATACTAAAATATGAACAATGTATATTGATTTTAATAAGAATTTGAAAATAATAAAAAAAAAAAAAAAAAAAGCAAAAAAAAAAACCTTATTTGCTTGTGCCTTTTGGAATCCATGCTAGATTAATTTGATGAACTGAGTCAAATGTATGAAACATATGTGATACGAGAGAGCTGGATGATCTTCTCCCCTGTCTTCAATTTCGTACTCGACTTGTGAATTTTAAATTGATGGTATGCTTCGATCATCCAATTTTCGTATGATAAGAAACGAGAAAGTTATAGGATAATATGGTAGATCGAATTTGCCAAGAATTACCAAGGCAACAAAATTTTGAAAAAGAGGAGATGAAACTGAAGTGGTTTTGTATTTTGCTTCTCTATTTTATGAGAGGATAAGTTGTAGGAGTATAAGGTTGCTGATAAGTGTAATTTAATTTGCGTATGTTGACTTTCTTCTTAACAAATCAAAAGCACAAGATTTTTCCAAGAAGATTTGTACGGTTCCAAGTACAAGCAAATAAACAAATTGATCACAAATTAATAAAAATTTGATTTAAAAATTACACATGCGAAGGGAAATGACAAAAGTACAGCTCACAAGGTTGTAGCATCATTTTCTGGACATCAAATAAAGTGCTTAAAATGATGCAGCTACTTTTGTGTGGATGGTGGACCTAATTCACGTTAAATTTGTGTGAACTTATAGCCCACAGGCCACAATTATCTGTTAGCCCATATATAATCTCAAACGCCCAACTGAAAACATAACCTTATCTATCTAAGTTATGAATCATATACTCTCTCCGTATTTATTACTTGCTTCATTTTCTCAAACACGGAGTTTTATGATGACTAATAAAAAGTATTTCATATTATTTTACGATGGAAGTGGAGTTTGTTAAAAAAAATTAAAAAAAATAAATAAATCAAAAGTAAATATAAGTGGTGAGGAAAGAGAATATGAAAAATATTAAAACATAATATTTGGAGCCCACTAGTAGGGAGAAAATAATAAAATAGTGTTAAAAGTTTGCAAAAAAGAAAAGAGAGCAAATAATAAAATTTGGCTGCAAAATAAAAGTGGAGCAAATAATAAAATACGGAGGGTGTAGTTGGTTATTTTGATAATGATACCTGAAAAGGAGTTAAAACTAACTAATTAACTAAAACTAATAATGGAATACCTGAAATGGTAAGGGACTGGAACTCATAAGGTATTTAATTACAGCTCCGTTTAGCAACATTACCTGAAATAGAGCTAAAACTGATAAGGTAGTACTTGAAATTCATAAGATGCTAAAACTGATAAGGTAGTTGATTCCATTAACCGTTTGGTAACACTAGTTGCATAAGTACCTAAACTATTTGGTGTTTTAATTGATACTCCATATTTTATACTTTTTACATTTGAAGATTTTCTTAGTATACTACTTTCTCCGTTTTTATTAAATTTCATCATTTGGGTTGGGCAGAGAGTGAGGGATAGCTCAAGTAGTTAGAGCTTCCCTTCCGGTCTCATTAACCGCGCTTATGACTCTTTAAAAAAGAAAAAAAAATCATTTGGATTGGGCACAAAGATTGAGGAAAAAAACTACATAACATAAATTTCTATTTGACTACAAAAAGGAAAGAGAGTAAAAGTAAGGTAATTACTAACAAGAGTAGATAGCAAATGTGAGTAAGAGTAGAATCTATCTATTACATACTATCAAAAGAGAATCTAAGGGGATACTTGGCAATATATTATTAAAAGATTTTCCGCCAAAATTACTTTTTTAAAAAAATCATTGTTATATAAAAACAAAAGTTTACAACTAGATTATGACTTTTATTTTTTATGAAATTTAAAGTAAACTTCCTAAAACATCAACTTACACATTATAACTATAACATATTTAATATTTTCTCGTACATGTTTTTTTATTGTTTTAATATATTTCATGTGTTTTAATCATTATTTTACATAACTATATTGTTATTATAATTATTCTAACATTCGTGTTTGATGTGTCGACAAAACTGTTTGTAAAAGTACACACTCAAAATCGAAATAACAAAATATGCTACTTCTTAAAAAAGAAAAATGGTGAAAAAAAAGGAAGATATTATAAATTTAACAAAATACCAAAATTATAATTATGGGTAGCACTGCCAATTCAAGTTGACTGTTTGTCTTATAAACGGAATTGCACAAATAAAATAGTAAGAACAATGTTATCGAGAATAAGACTGAGTCGCGGACTATGTCGCTCTCTTTAGAACATTCGCGGCACTGCCTCAAACTTGTGCAAGCAGCTCGTACCAAACCGGATGCCCCCAGGATAAAACAGTCTTTCACAAGTATAAAATACCGGCGGTTTTGCACCGAACCACCGGACAACGAAACACCAGAAAATCAGAAAGAAACTGCTCGACTGTTTTGAGAGGAAGAGAAAATATATTTTGCAAAGTGTTTTTCTGTATTGTTTGTTCGCGTTGTAAAATCAAAGCTGGAACCGTCCTTTTATAGGTAAAGATATGTAACAGCTTAAGCATGAAAACGGGAGAAAGATTAGCAACGTTTACTGCAATTAGTGTATCCGTTAAGCAAGAATCAAGGCATTAAATCAGTGTAACGGTGCAACGTTTAGCAGTAAAACAGCAACGAGAATCAAGCAATGTAACGGAAAAATTTAAACCAAAACAGTAAAACGTTTTGTAACTGAATATTAATCAAACCGGTAACAAAAATTAAGTTTGTTTAATAACCCAAACCCAAACCCGACCCAGCCCGGCTCGGTTCGGCGCGCGTGTGTGTGATATATGGTTTACCATATAGGTCCTCCCTCTCCACAAAATGTGGGTAGCCCAAGGGCCACACCCCTTTAGCCCACTCTCTATATTATAAAGAGAGTAAAACTCTCATTTCCCACCAATGTGGGACTTTGAGTTTTTTCACAAAATTCACACACTACACACTTGTTGTTCCAACAGTTTGTTTTGTTTCGAGTTGAAATTGGTCAGTTTAAAACTGGTTCATTTGGTTAACACGTCGGGTTGGTTTTTTTTTTCTATTATTAATTGGTCAATTTGGTTTAGGTTTATTTTGCATGGTTTCAATCTAGGTAGGTTGTAATTATTTCGGCCGTAAACGGTTCAAATCATGATAGGGATGGGTTGGGAACGGATTTACTCACGTTAACGAGGTTTCAGATTCGATCAGATGATTATAATGGTTCGGGTTATAAACGAGGTCGATGTTTAAATGGATTGTATTATCAAGTAGCGAGTCTAATCGGATCAAGTTGAAACGGGCTCATCATTTGATTGACGATTCAGTTTGATTCAATTAAAAAGTTAATGAATATGTTCAATTTGATTGTTTTGATCGGATTGTAAGCGTTTTGTATCTGGTTATAACTGATTTGGATTTCATATTGAGTCAAGACTTAAATAGGTCAATTTATTTTCAAGTATCATATTTTATGCAGATAATTAATATTTTTTTTTTTTATCAAGTTATGCCTAATTTTTGTTGTATTCACCTTAATTAAGCTATACAAATTTATGGGTCATTATTGCTTCATTATTAAGCTATTATCAACTTCTTGTTCAGTCGTTTTAGATTTCGTGTTATAATCACAATGGAGTTGTTACAACAATCAAAAGTTTCAATACGATAACTAATGTTGGCGACTTGAATTATAACTAAATTTTTATTTTGACGAGATTTGTAACTAAATTCAAACATTTAGCATTTAAGGTCATATATAATTATATTGATACATATAATTTAATATACTCTAGTGTTTGGATCCTGTTGATGCCCTAGGTTATTACATGGGCTCGATCATTAATCAATGGCGGAGCCGGGAATTTCAACGAGGGAGGGACGGACTACAAACGTCCCACAATTTGAATTGAAAAAAAAAAAACATTGAACACATAAAATGTTTATTACATAAATTTAACAACCTTAAAATCCAAAATGCTTAGTCATACGATCAAAGAAAGATGAAAAATAATTACATAATTTTTAGGGTTTCATTCTTTTCAACATGAATTGTTAGAGATCGGATCGATTTTCCATTTCTTAGACCTGTTCGAATATTAGATGAACTATTTTACATTTTATAAATAAATTATATTGGAAAATATGAATCAATTACCAAATCGTTTTTTTTTTAAACTACGGAGTTTCAAATAATGTGTAAATATGGATTCCAATTATAATAAATTAACAAAACATTAAAAATTAAAAATTATTAACAACCATGACAAAATAACAATTTTTAATTCAATATATCAACAAAACAACTGAATTGATCCGATGGTGAGAAACTTGTTATCGAGTTACAAAATTGACATATTACGAAGTATAATCTCATTTAATTATCATCAAACAAACAAATTAAAAGTGAAATTACCATCGATATCCTTAAATTATGAGGAATTAGTCCATACATGACATTGTAGAACAAATACATACACATTAGACATTAGTTAGTAATCACTTATTTACTCACATTACACATAATACTAAGTAATAATCTAATAGATTTAATCCAATAAAAATAAAACAAATAATAAAACTAAAATCTAAAAGATCAAGGTGAAAATAATACAGTTTTTGTTTTATTCTCTTTCCTCTTTCTCTCTCTTCAAAGAATCCCACTGTTTTTTATTCCACTTTCTTGGTGGCCTTCATAACTCCTCTTCTCTCTCCTTCATCCACCAACTCTCATGTTATTTTCATTAATTTTCACATTCATAAGTCCTCCTCCTCCTCCCTTATTTTTTACAATTGTTTTAATGATAATAAAAAAAAAACTGATTTTTTTTTTTTTTAGAAATGGAGACAATTGTCCCCCGCCCCTTTCATTAATATACGTTTTAATTTGTTATGACTTGATTTTATTGTTATTTATATTATCATTTGCTGCATATTAATATATTTTGTATTCAAAAGATAATATAAAATATTTCATAGCTTGATAATAAGACACTCATTTCTAGAATTAGAGGTTGCATGTTCAAATCTTGTGAAGCAGATGATTTTTAATATATTATTATAGATTGGTGATGACATTTATAACTAATAATTCAAAGTATTAAGAATTCGAAGTCATATAACAGTGTCTTATTTTTAACTAGATGCATTTAAATTATTTTGGCTGAATATATAAATTATTGTTTATGTTATTATTAAGTATATTTTGTCTGAGCTGAATCAATAATATATACATCAAAATCATATCATATGAGATCTTGTTAGATTTGTCTTGAAATATATTTTTAAAATATTAGAATTTTAGAATTTATATTCATATGTTATTGAATATTTATTACGTTGTTAAAGATGCGCATTAGAGACTATAATATAAATTTCTCTTCTCTTTGGTTGTCACGTGTAGGAAGCTCTCTTTAAATTATTACTAATGTAAGCTGGTGGAGTGCATTTGGGCACACAAAACACATTGGAGGGTAATTTAGTAATTGGAC